ATGCTGTGTTCCCAGCTTCATGAGGCAGCACTTTCCCACTGCTGACTCATGAGACGTGATGTCATCTCCACTTTATTATCAGCTGCTTACAGGTCCTGTGGCGGGCTAAATGGCTAATCCGTCTGTTTTATTACTCAACGCTCTACTGCTGTACACGGAGGGGGGCGCACCGGGTATTTTGTCTTCTGTTACTGTAAACAGATATTAGATCTAGAGCCCTGACATAGCTTTTGTGACAGCAGACTGTGAATACAATTGAATTTCACAGGGTATATTTACTATGCCTCGTCGTAAACATAAATGTCACGGTCATAAAATTGATAAGCAGTTGAGTCGTTAAAAAAATATATATAAATGCTGGTATGGAAAACGGATTAACGACAAATCAGCCCTTCATGATATCTTCTGTCTCTTTTGATAATCATTGTAATTTTGAAGGTCAGGTTATCAAGTTAAATGTGACTGAATATTATCAATGGTATTAAGTGTTATGTGTTCATCTCACCTGTCCTTGTCCCTGTTCCTCTAAAGAGAAGACAATGTTTGGTACTCTAAGAATTTTGGGCTCTAATATTCAATATTCCGACGTTCTCTAATTTTGAAGGAATGATCGAGTTATTTTTTTCTTCTTAATTCAATTGGGGTGCAAAGGTTTTAAAGATACTGCTTTTGATGAATCAGGTTCATTGGTAATTTCAAAAAATGTTCTCCCAAGTAAGAATGCGTTGAATTCAACCGTAGTGCCCACGAGATTGACAATACTACCAATTAAAAAGAAAATGGTCTTGAAAATATAAATGTCCATCAATAACTGCTTATAACAGTGTATTGATATCTGCTGAGAGTGATGTAACTGTCACACACTTTAAAGTTGATGCACGCAACGTCATTCAGCTGTTTTACCTGGCAGAGAGCCTTATAATGGTGACTGTGTCCATTGGCCTTAACCACCCATGTCTTTGTTTTTCGGCGAATGGTTCAGATGGGCCTAAAGTACGTGATTGCCTTTTTTTCTTTTTAAGTTTGCATTTCCCTCCAGCGTGTCAGAAAATGCATGCCTAAGCATCTTTACAAAGTGCAACGGATGCTAGAAAGCAGGAGAGCTGTGAGTGGAATCTTAACTGCAGCTTTGCACCTCAGATTAGCTCGATAGAGAGCCGTGATGCAACATTCTCCTGTCAGCTGCATCCAAAGGTTACCAGCAGTCAACTGAAGCTTTTTGGAGAGCAGTTCAAAGCGATAACCTCAAGGTCTTTATGAGCTATTATGCACTACATAAAGGCATTTTATTTCTAACATTTAACACAACGTTAAATGTCTTGTTTGTGATTGTTATTTCTCAGTGACCTTGAGATATTGAACATCAGTGCCCATCCCGTTCAGCTTTGTTCTTGTTATTCTCTGTCCCTGCCTCTTACTTGCCCTCAGATACATCAATATGCAAGCAAAGGCAGCCAGGGGTCTTACAGTAAACTGACTTTATGTAACTTTGTTATCCATTCAAATGTTCAAACCTTACCATATTTCCACAATGTGTGTCTGGCCATACCTTCATTTGGCATGTCAATGGTATTTGAAACCTGAGAGTTGGTGAATAAGAGGCACATTTATGCCTTATTCGATACATGAGAGCAACCCTTCTGGGTATCTTCCCTCTACGTCATGGCCCACCCTTATTTTCATTAACATTTCTGCTGTTATTTGACTGGCAGAAAAACATTTCTAAGGTCTTTGCCAAATCAGATTAAAAAAAGAAAAAGAATACAGTGCATGTTGTATCCACATGGAGCCCAAATATGATGCTCAGTAAGGCAAACAATTACACAATGTCATTGGAGATCGGTAATTGGTGTCGATATTGTGAAATAAAAAGGGGTCCTGTCACTGCAGCAGGCTAACACTTAAACTGGGATTTCCTTGACTTGTCAGTGTTTTATATTTGTAATGCAGCAACTAAATATACTACTTTGACTTTTTACATTAACTGTTCACTCTGACGATTGACCAATCATTAGCATAATCATTTAGCTTTGACAGTCTCCGTCCTCTCTATGGAGGGCTGATGCCACATAGATTGACTTCTTCTGTTCTTCTTTCTAAATGAAAGTCAAGAACATTGTAACTTCGGACCTTTTTTGTTTTTGACATGCAATACATGACACAGCAGCTTTGAGGCATCATGAAAAATGTTTCCCTCTAGGCGCCAATTCTTTGTTTTCACCTGAAAGGGGACAGGACGATTTTGGTCTACCCACCAGGATTCCTATCATCCTTAGCGTGATATAAACAGAAATGACAGACCAGTCTTGAGGAAAGAATGTTGGGATTAAATGGGTCAAACACAGTGTTAGGGTTAGGGTTAGGGTTAGGGTGTCTTGGGGTAATTTGTATGACCGTCCTGTCATGTGACTTATGTGATGAGACTTCTTCCTAACCCAGCCATGATCCCAAATTACGTTGTTGCTTAAACCTTTCCAATAATTTCATCATGTAACCATGGCATTGAGCGTTAATGCTGTTTTAAATTGTAATTATAATGTGTTTTTTTAGACTGTTGCTTTGTCAGGATCATGATGGAGAGTGTGATCTACCTTTCTGGCACATCTGCATGATGAAAGTCCCCGTATGTTCATAAAGTGAGAGATACTGTTACAAGGATGGAAGTGGTTCTACACAAATTGCATCAGTTACGTTCATTGGATTAACTATACTGCAGCATCCTTTCACTGTCAACTCATTAAATGCGTCTACAATATCAATGATCTAAAATGGCCTTGTCTGTGATCCTCCATTGGACTGGGCCTTGGCTGATCTCTACTGGATTCCTGCTCTGCACCACTTCAGTATGTTATCCAGGTTTAATGACATTGGAAATACAGCGACACCTAGAAATGCCCCTAAGGCCCAATAGTGGAAAACAAGTTGCAATGATTTATTGCAGGATAGTAAAAGATAGATCAAATTGTTATTTTAACGCCACTGTTTTTGAAATAAAATATTAGAGACAATTCTTCTTGAAAATCCAGTTTTCACCCTTTTTTGTTTTATTTGCATGAGGGATTTTGGACTGTAGTACCTGACATCACCTGTCAGCTTACTGCATGTCCCGTCTGAAACCAAAAGTGAACATTGAATAATAATAACTTACAAAGTTATGTAACAAACATACTTATTTAACCAATAACCATGATCCTTTACAAACAACGTAATATTGTTTTAATCCACAAAATTAACCACGTGCTCAACACAGTGAGCGCTTCACAACATGTCTGTCACTGGTGTTCTCCAATGAGTTAAATTGTGATTTTAAGGGTTTTATAAGCAAACAGAGCTCCTATTCAGCCAAGCTACAGATCCGTCTATACGTCTATTTTGAAATGCCATGTTTGTTAAGCTTATCAAGTGTAAAACCTGTTTGACCATACAGTATCGACATGTTCCAAGTCATTTGAAAGAGTTATTGGGCACGCTGTGATGGAGCATGTGGTGCAGCAGACAGCTGTCAGAGGAGGGGACTCTGACTGCAAAACAGGGGTGTGACAGGAGCGGAAGGGCAGGTGAAGGAGGAGCTGCGGCTCTCTAAGGAGCATGGGAAAGAATTGGAGCGAGCAGGCTGGTGACGGTTCCCGCTGCTTAATCAGAAGTGACGTTACACAACATTATCCACCTCAGCAGTCTGTGCTGCAGCTGGAACAACTTATTTTTTGAAAAGAAGGAACAGAATGCTCTCTGTCAGCCCAGACTGTGAGCTATGGTGCACACAGATTATTTGTCTTTCACACAAAAGTATCTTGGTGCGTGAGTGTGTGTTTCTGAGCAGGTGCACCCTGTCTAGCAGCCTCTCTATGAAGGTGTGTGAATGCTGACATGGAAGTGCTCTGAGGTTTGTAAGGACTGGAAAAGCACACACATAGTTGTCGTACTGCTTAAAGAGGGACATCTCTAAGTGGTTGACCAATCAAAATAGAGCGGGCCAGCTAACCAATGAAAAGAGGTGCTTCCTGATGTTCCCATTAGGCAGTATGAGAAATATTAAGAGCTTTTTAAACATTAAAGCATGGAGACATGTCTCAGTAGAGGCTATAAATAGCAGTATATGTCCTCTATCTATCTGCTTCTTTCTTAAATCTTATTTTCCCCCAAAGATCCAGATAGTATTTCTTCAGGGAGTACAGAAGAGACAGACAGTTGTACACAAAATGTGTCCTCAAAAGGACTTCTGTTGAATACAATACTGTTGTATTGTTTAACAAAAATCAAATTGTACTTTAATAGTAAATGTGAGGCCACTGTTTTAAAATAAAATATTATGGAAACAATTCAGCTTGGTAAAGCTACTGACAATGTAGTTTCCACCCTTTTTTGTTTTCATGTTTGCACAGAATTGTATTGTAGAACAGACATGACCTGTCAGGCTACTGCATGTCCCATTTGAAACCAAAAGTCAATGTTGAATTATTTTAACTTGCGTTGATCCAACGATTTGTATCAAGCGTACTTGTTTTATCCAAAAATCATGATCTTTTACAAACTTAACTACGTAATTCAGTTTAAATCCACAATATTAACCACATGTTTAACACAGCGGCAGCTTCCCTAAATGCTTGTTTTGTCACTGGTGCTCTCCCATGAGTAAGGGTCATCACTGGTTAACAACCCATCCCTTCTTTATATATTTTTGTGGGGGGGTTTTCCTACAATTTCTAGAGGATTGTGTAACACTTCAATATCTGAACATCAGGAGATCTGTTGAATAATAATGCAAACAACATTTTTGAGTGACTCATTTTCTCATAGAGAAGTCCTTTTTATTGGCCCTGACCCCGTGTCTCCATCAGATGAATATCACTCAGAACATTTCTGGCAGCAGTCTCAGTACTTCAGTAGGGTCAGAAACCCAGTTTGAAAGTTGTCAAAGAAACCATTTGGGATTTAAAAAAAGTTAGTTAATGGCTTATGAACAACGTTTTAACCTTCCTTTTATTGTGTCGTTCCCGCAGGACTACACCATCACCATGTACTTCCAGCAGTCGTGGAGAGACAAGCGGCTCTCCTACACCGGCATTCCTCTCAATCTGACCCTGGACAACCGGGTGGCCGACCAGCTGTGGGTCCCTGACACCTACTTCATTAATGACAAGAAGTCTTTTGTTCATGGCGTGACGGTGAAGAACCGGATGATCAGACTGCACCCTGATGGAACTGTTCTCTACGGTCTCAGGTGAGAGCTGTTTCCACTTTCTAGCCCTTCTTTACTGCATAGACATAATGCCCCATCTCTAGGGGCTTTTAAAGACCTGAACTGTTCTTTCTATTCTTTTTCCACTGTTTTATCAAACTGGGACCTGGTAAATGGTTTGCCTTTAAATAGCACTTTTTTATTCTTTCTAGTCAAAGTGCTTTTACATTTACTAGTCAAGTCAGCATTCACCCATTCACACACATTCATGCCATCTGCTAAGGCAGTGTTTCTCAAAGTAGGGGGCGCGCCCCCCCTAGGGGGCGCAGAGGCATGACAGGGGGGTAACCTCGAAGTCCAGGACTCAGGATGCAGGACTCAGGATCCAGGACTCAGGACCACAGCAACAGGATCAGCCACGACTCAGGATCCCGGCGTAGATAGACACCAAAAAGAAATTTGGGGGAAGCTGGGTTATTCGGAACATGAGAGTGCACAGGTACAGACAGAGAGAAGGAAGAAGTAAGGTGTCCCCCGACAGTCTAAGCCTATAGCAGCAAAACTAGGGGCTGAATCTAATCAGTCCTAACTATAAGCAGGGTGCGTACGGGTGCTGGAAATCCTTGTAAATGCTTGAAATTGTACGAGGTGTTTTCAAGGTTTGAAAAGTTCTTGAATTTTGGGAATGGTGCTTGAATTTGGGATAAAGTGCTTGAAATTGTAAATGCTTTACTTCGCTTTTTAGATTAAAAGAAAATAAAGAAGTCGGAGCGCGCTTAATTGCTTCGCTTTTACATAAAACAGCTCCGCTCCGGCCTTCCCGCGCAATGCGCGTGACCGGCAAGTGTTTTTGTTACGTGTGTGACCTGGGCATTCTGATGAGAGTGATAGATGACAGTATGCCAGGAGGTTGCCGTTTCAACGAGCGTTGGCTAGCAGAAGACAAATACAAGCCATGGCTAAGACGAGGGTCAAGCCCACGAGTAGCCTCCTGCAAAGTGTGCAACAATAACGATGCGAGAGTCTGCGCTGACGAGCCACACACCACACGAAAGGTACGCTGTTGTAGAACATTTTAGATTAGGCTATCGTTGCATGTAAAATACATGACACTTTTCTCTGTGCGTGGCAAAACAAGCTCGCCAAAATGGCTTCACTAGTCTGGCAGTATTTTAAGTGTCCGAAAATGACAATAACATAGCGGTATGCAACGTGTGTGTGAAGCAGAAATCCTGCAGCTCCACCCGCTGTGACGGACCGGTGAGCGGAGCAGAACACACATTAAGAGTTAGACCTAACACTATTAGCTATTTTATCTACCTCTGGAACAAGCTAAACTAGTTATAAATATATTTATTCTTCACTGTCGGGTCGCTCATTACTGGATCAGTGAGCTGCAGGAGATACTGACGGGCTGTCAGGAGAGAGAGAGAGGGGGAGAGAGGAAAAGAGAGCGGTATCGGCCGATACTGATTCCGGCGATCGGCTCCAAAATTGGCGATCGGAGCATCCCTAATAATTGTATATGATATGTTTTATAATGATTGATCATGAAAGTGTTCTCAAAGCTGGTAAAGTTGCAGCTAGTTTGAATGACTTTGTATACTACAGAGTAGCTTGTGAATTTACTCCAGGTGGAACTAAAGTCTGATTTAACACTTGATTATATTTCACATCATTCATCCACATCTGTAAAGTAACTGAAGGTATTAAATACATGTAGTGGAGTCAAAGTACACCATTTACCTCTGACTTGTGTTTACTGCCAACCTAAAAGTACCTCAAAAATAGTAATCAATAATATATTGAAAAGTTATTTGGCTGATTGTTTTATATTGGCTCAGCCAGGTTATATGGGATGCCCAGTCTACGTACAGATGGGTCACACATTTTGAAATATTAAACTTAGTTTTCTTTTCTAACATTTTTAATTTTTCATCCTCATGTAGAATGCTATTATGAAACACACATTTGGTTGTTTATAGCATAAAGAACATCTGATTTAATGTGAGTTAGGGAAATAATCATTTGAGTATAAGTATGTGTATATAAATATGTAATTTACAACAGCTGTAAGATGCTTGAAAAGCTTGAAAATGCACCTTGAAAATGCTTGAAAAGTGCTTGAATTTGACTTTGGAAAAGGTGTAAGAACCCTGTATAAGCTTTATCAAAAAGGAAGGTCTTAAGCGCACTCTTAAAAACGGATAGGGTGTCTGCCGCCCGAAGCTGATTCCACAAATGTGGAGCTTGATAAGAAAAGGCTCTGGCTCCCATTGTACTTTTAGAGACTCTAGGAACAACCAACAACCCTGCATTCTTGGAACGCAATGCCCTAGTAGGACAGTAGGGTATAATGAGTTCTTTAAGGTAAGATGGCGCCTGCCCATTAAAGGCTTTGTAGGCGAGAAGAATAATTTTTCTATCCTGTGTTCTATAGGGAGCCAGTGTAAGGCAGCCAGAACAGGAGTAATGTGGTCCCTTTTCCTAACTCTGGTTAGTACACGTGCTGCAGCATTTTGAATCAGCTGAAGCGACTTAACTGACTTCTTGGTACACCCTGATAACAAAGAGTTACAATAATCCAGTGTTGAAGTACAAATGCATGGACTAGTTTCTCTGCATCGTTTTGAGGCAAGATATGCCTGATTTGAGCAATGTTACGTAGATGGAAGTAGGCGGTCCGTGAGATTAATTTTATGTGGGCGTTAAAGGATAAATCCTGATCAAATATAACACCAAGGTTCCTTACAGTCTCACTGGAGGCCAAATTAATGCCATCCACAGTTAGTATATCTTTAGATAATTTGTTTCGTAGATTCTTTGGGCCGAGTACAATAACTTAAGTTTTGGCCGTGTTTAACATCAAAATATGTAAGGTCATCCACGTTTTTAAGTCCTTGAGGCAGTCTTGAATTTTATTTAGATGATTGGTTTCATCAGGCTTGATTGATAAATATAGTTGAGTATCATCTGCATAACAATGAAAATGTACAAAGTGATTCCTTATAATATTGCCTAACGGAAGCATATATAATGTGAACAAAATAGGTCCAAGCACTGAGCCCTGTGGCACTCCATGACTAACTTTGGTTTGCATGGAAGATTCATCGTTGACACACACAAACTGAGGCCATTCAGATAGATAGGACCTAAACCAGCCTAAAGCAGTTCCCTTTATGCCAACTAAGTGCTCTAGTCTTTGCAATAAGATATCATGGTCGATAGTATCAAATGCAGCACTGAGATCGAGCAAGACAAGAATAGAGACAAGTCCTTTGTCTGAGGCTATTAGAAAGTCATTTGTGACTTTAACCAGAGCTGTCTCTGTGCTATGATGTGTTCTAAAGCCAGACTGAAAATCTTCAAATAAATCATTGTTTTTTAAGTAATCACACAACTGTTTTGCGACTGCTTTCTCAGGAATATTTGAGTGGAATGGAAGATTAGCAATAGGTCTATAGTTGGCTAAAACCTCTGGATCGAGGTTGTGCTTTTTAAGAAGAGGTTTTATCACTGCTACTTTATATGATTGTGGAACATAGCCTGATAATAAAGACATATTCATAATATTTAATAAACAAGTGTTAATTAATGGAGAGTATTATGCCAAATTAAACGAGATTCTTCAAGTTTAGTGGAACGCCATATCCTTTCAAGTTGTCTCGACTTTTGCTTTATTTTGCGGGTTTCGGCATTATGCCATGGAGCTAGTCTATGTTGTTTTATTTTCTTCTTTTTCAAAGGAGCAACAGAGTCTAATTTTATTCGCAGCGCACCTGTAGCACTATCAACAACATGATCAATTTGGGGTGGTGTACATTTTGTATAAGTTTCCTCCCTTACATACAGACATGCTATCGACTATTGATGCTATTGATGGAATCTCTTCCTTAAATGTGGCTATAGTGCTAACAGATAGGTTTCTGCTGCAGGAGCTTTTGACTAATGGTTTGTAGTCTAGTAACAGATAGGTTTCTGCTGCAGGAGCTTTTGACTAATGGTTTGTAGTCTAGTAACAGTACTTATAAAGTTACAAAAAAATTGTCGGATAAAGCAGGATTATGCAGTTCGACTAATAGTTGCTCAATTTCAATACCATAAGTCAGAACAAGGTTCGAGAGTGTGATTATAACAGTGGGTTGGTTTATTTACACTTTGACGGAAACCAATATGATCAGTTAAATGCAACAGTAAGGCTATGTTTATCGTCGTCAACATGAATATTAAAGTCACCTACGATAATTACTTTATCTGTTTTAAGTACCAAAGTTGATAAAAACTCAGAGAATTCTGATAGGAATTCTGAATAAGGATCTGGTGCACGGTACACTGTAACAAATAAGATTGGCTGTAATGTTTTCCAGGTCGGATGCGTAAGACTAAAAACAAGGCTTTCAAAGGAGGTATAATTTAATTTTGGTTTAGTATTGAGGTGGGACCCCATTCATTCCTATGAAAGTTGCTCAGTGTGCATGAAGCCTAAATGGACTGACTCTGGAGAAGAAATATACCCGGATCATCCTGGATCTTCCGGTTATCTTCCGCATCCATTGGAGAGATTGAGCATGCGCACAAGTGTATTCCCTATGCCCAGCCCCCAATCCACTATTTTTACAACTTTTAGGACTAAATCATTCAAATAGGGGCTATTCAAGTGTTCATACTGTGGAGTTTATTTATCTAAAAAAGACATCAACCTCTGATTTACAGTAGCTCTTTCCCAATGTAAGTCAATGGGGAAAAGTATTGTTGGGCCTAGTGGCATAACGTGACTGACATAGAAGTTGTAGTTCCAACATGTGGCCAATAGGGAAATTGCTTCAATGCCTGGCGCACTTCCTAGGGTCTTGATCTTGCCTAATGACACATTGACATGTTGACAGCAGGGGCTCGGGATCAAACCACTGTAGACAACCATTCACCTCCTGGGCCACAGCCAAGCTTTGACCTATAAAGCCAAAAACAGTCCATACAATTGTTTTGTGCAATGTGGTTAACAAGAAATGTAGTGCAAAAGGGTCAATGTGATGCTATTGCTG